AATATTTGAATAATTGGGTCGGATTTGGATCGGATCCACTTGTACTTGGATTTGGTTTAAATTACTATTCAGATCCAAATTTTGGATCCATATCCAACCGTCAGATCGTAATATCAAATCCATTCCCAAATCCAGATAAAATCCAAAATTCGGATTGTGGAAGCAAACCGGATAAATTCTCAACCCTACTCAAAAATATTTTTAATGGAAATTCTTATCTATCTTTACACCCCAGCACTCTCTTTTTCACCTCATTTAGCATAACGATATCACTAAAAAAACTACGTCCATAACATTTGCATGAGCCTGAATTATACACACACATTATCTTAATCTTAATAGTCAATACTACAACAATTTCGCTCATAAGCCTAGAGACTCATACCTGTGCCATTTTACCAAGAGACTCTTACCTGTCCCATTTTGCCTGTCTGATTTTAATTTTAATTAAACAGCTGAGTTATTCTGTTTTATTATTTTTAATCTTTTGTACAAACATCTTTAAGCTAAACTTTGGAGGCTAGATGCACCTTAACCTCATGCACATAATGAAAAATATAAAAACATATTTCACATGATTATAAATATCAAAAATACTCCTCTAACATTAGAGTATTTTTGTCATTTTAAAATCAAAATATTTTTGCTAATTTTCTATTGCGTAGGAGGAGGTGGTGTGGTATATCCATGCCCCAAACTTTCAGGTTGATCCGATTCGAAAATTAAAATGCTATTATATACCATCAACCATTTGATTTTAATCGTACGGTCGATAACCTTTAGGAGCATGAGCAAAATCACGAGAGCATTTAACTCATGGGCATGTAGAAGGGATATATGTATACATTGACTCAAATCCAACCCGTCCCAGGGTCGACTTGACCTGAACCCGACCAAGTCTAGTTCCGGACACATACACATATAAAAACAGAGAGAAAGTGAGAGAGAGAGTAAATTACACAAATAAAATAAAAGCACAAAATTTTTATAGAGCATATAATACATCTACTCCCTCGATCAGTAGAACTATTTGGGAGGATTTTTTTCAATTTAAAATTTTGGTAACCACTTAAGAATCACTACATGATTGTTTTCAAAAAAAAACAATTGAAATTTGAGTTTTCGTACGTTTGGATCTCATCATGTAAAAATTGGACAGTCACTATTCAAGCTCGAGACATTTTTTTTCAAATATATAGAGGTGCAATTAGGATTTTTTTTTTTTCTGAAATGATTATATGAGTTGTTACATCTCAAAAATTTGGAGTCTTAAGTAAATCCTAAATAGGCTTTTATCCAAGAAAGCCGGTATGGTCCAACAGTAGCAGTACAAATGTCTTTTGGCAATCATATAAAACCCTAGCACCTTCAAAGAGAAAAACGGCATAAGGATACCCCAAAGCCCACACTTAATACAATGCCAAACTACATGAAAAATACAAGTCTCAACCAGTGATTTAAAAGACAAATCAGTGACCTAGTTCAAACACCCCAAAAACTAGTCCAGATTAATGAATCAGCAATTCGGATCATCATTTTACCATGTGGAAAAACTAATGAACAGGTAAAAAAAAGCGTGAAAAAATAGTGAACAAGCCAAAAACCACTATGAATCGGTGAATCGGTGACCGGATCGCTATTTTACTATAAAGAATTGTCGTTTTACTGTGCAGAACTGCTGGTTCCCTTCTAGACTCAACCGTTTTTCTATATATACACAGAACCAGAATGGCATGACCGATTCCTACTTAGGATTGGGTAATTCTGTGTCGACCCATCGTTTTTTAAATACCTCATCCTCATAAAATTATTCTCATGTTTTTACTCTCTCTCTCACACACAGTAAGAGTAACCTCTCTCCCTCAATGAGTTAAGAGTCGATTTGTTGGTGGCATCTTCATTGTGCTAAAGTAGATAATGTTTTGAAGTTGTGGTGTTCATACTTCTCACCATCACAGACTTGTAAAAAAATATAAAAAATAATTTTGAAAAAATAAAATTACCATAATACCCTTAAATCTTATAAGGGTATTTTGATCATTTTATTATTGAATTATTTTTTATTGTGTTTAATGAGTGCATAATATGAAGAACTATAGCTGCCCCAAATCTGAACTTAATCCGATGCATAGAAGAAATAAAATTGAAATACACTACACACAAAAAAAGAGGGACTTGAGCATAAA